TTTCATCGGAAACCATCTGCATTTTTTTAAAGCATAGAGATGTCATTGTGAAGACACCTACTGCATGAAAGCTGTTTGGTAAAATAAAAATTGGACGACGCACAACATAAACTTATCAAATGTGCGCTCACCCTCATCAAAGATTCCTACTTACAATCATTATGTACGAGGCAATTAAGAGGAAAGTTGGAGGGAGCGTGCTTAGGATTAAAGACAGTTAAGAATAAAGAAGGGTACCTCCGTAACTTCGTGACAATAAGCGATAAATAGAGTGTTTAACTCGATAGCTCACGAGTGAGATGTCGAGTTCAACACAAGAAGAGAAATTCCATATCTAAAAGCAACCATGTATTATTTTGTTTATCATATAAACACAATAGCCCTTTACTGAGAAGAAAAGCTGAATTCATGAAAGAATGAAAATAAATGAATCGACAACTCTCGAATAACAATTGTAGAGTGCGTTGGCGCTAACTCTTAAGATGGAAAAATGCGTTGAATCACAATAAAACAAACAACAATGGTCGTCATTTTCAATTTACAAAATTCTTATTTATTGACTTTGTCCTTACCGACAGGGGAAGTCTTTCAGGTAAGCGGCCAAAATTGGCCAGTGAAAAATCTTCCAGTTGTCGATTTTCATTCTCAGCTGAGAGAACTGCTAACACCAAAGCCGCTGAATACGTAACCCAATGAATATCTCAACAGCCGCCGAAAAGTTCAGAGTTTAGTGTATCACGTCATACATATAGAAAAGCCAATCCTCCACACCATCGCTCGCCGCCCTTTAGTGTTTCTGGCCATCACTGGAATCAGTCATTAGCCCCTTTTTTTTAAGTAGACGGTGTGGATTTTGATTTATATTCTTCTTTTGTCGCAAGAAGAGGTTGGTATATAAGACTGCTACGTATAAAAATTTTATCCATCGTCGGACAGCGGTGGCAGCCACAAAGTATCTCACTCACAGAGCATGGAGAGGCTTAGTGCAGCTGACGTCTTTGAGTGCGATGTTGATACACTTCTTGATTTTTTTCATAGCAGGTAATAATATTAGTAAAGTTGGGGACTAGGGTGGCAACTAGGATTTGCACCAGAATTTCAAAGACTATCTAATTCAATTTTCCCCTGAACTTAAAAAAATCGTCCTTTTACTGTGGATCGATGGTCGCGGGAAGCTTGGGTCAAATGAGTCTGGAACAAAAGTTTGTTAAGGTTCAAATGGTTTCGTTATTTGGAAAAACCTATTCTTTTTGATGGATTATAGCTTCTACACTTTTCTGTTTGTCTCCTTGAAATCGATGTTCAAAAATGCCCAAAGAACTGTAATCAAACTGGGTTTGTTTTTTTAAACAATTAAGGCTACCATAGCAACATTACAGCTTCAAGGAGACAGGTTTGTTGTTCTATCAATATAAAAAACCTCATTAATAATAAAAGTGATCAAAACAAATCAAGAAACACAGCACATTGTTTTGACAACATCAATATTTTCGAGGGAAAACACGAAGTAATGTAAATACATCGAAGGTATGCTAAAAGACTTCCACTAATAGAAAAAAAAAATCAAATGATTCTCCTCAAAGATTTTATTTGCGGAGAAATAATCGTTCAATATTTTTGTACGGTCATTTTTAACGTGTGCGTCACCACGATGCTGAAATAACTTCCCATAAACAATAACACATTTTGATTTCCTATGGAACTCTATGATAATTGAAAACCCACTTTTTCATTTCTTTTTTTATTTTCCTACTCGTTACAAAATCGGAATATAATGGACTTACTTCAACAAATTCGTTCGTTAGAGCTTCTTATCGATAAGTGAACTTTTGCTTGTAGAGTCAGACAGAGGTGCTTGTTTCGATTATTAAATGGATAAAAGAAACTGCTAAGTGCTTACGAAGGAGGACTTCTCCCTCTTGAGACTAAAAATGATAACAAACAATAATGATAAAAATATCAATAACAATTACAAAAAAAAAGGCAGCAACTTTTACTACAGCATCATTCCAGTTGTCGATAATGTCTGCAATGAAAGAGGATAGGAAGTCATGCCGTGTGTCAGTGTACATCAAGTGAAAAGTTTGAAACTTGTGTAGATAACAAAGCTAATTTGAAGTTGTGAAAATCAATTTCTACTGATTTATTGCCTCTAATATGAAGCCTTTACTGCTAAACGGGAGCAATAAATCATGGAGAAGGAACATGATTCACAGGAAGTTCTTACTAGAGAACCAAAATAAACATCGTTATGTTAATTTAACAAAGCCTCATAATCCCAGCTGTTGTACAAGTCTTTCAGCGAAAAAAAGGGCAAAACGGAAATATTCACATAAATATGGACATGTAAGGTGTCGCAGAGGTGAATTGGCTAACTTAGCTTGTAACAAGGTTCCATGATAATCAAAACTTATCCATCACGAATATCATGACACACAGGAAGTTCTTACCACCACCAAAATAAACGGTGGTTGCATGATAATTTGGCAAAGTTTCACAATGCCAGCTGTTGTACATTTGTAAAAACGATAACCCAGGAAAACATCAAATGAATTCTTCGTTTTCAAAAACTAGGTTTACATCTATCCATTTCTTTAACGCGCGCATTTTCAACGACGAACCAATTTAGTCAATTACATTATGACACAGAAATTTTGGGAGCTTCACCGGTCTAAATGTCTGCTCGACTATGTTATGAATATAAAGTTGTAGGAACGTTTCGTGACCTAAAACAATTCTTTCAGGTCCAATTTATCCTAATTCAGCACAAACGGTTTAAATATCAGTGTGCTTATCATTCAACAAATTTCAGTTATCATTCCTAAAATGGGACGACGGTATAGATATGAAAGGTGTCGTGGAGGTGAATTTGCTGACGTGTGACACGGCTGCATAATTTCAACTGTTATTTATCAATTTTTCATGATAGCATGTCAGGCTACAGAATGATGCGACAAAACTTAATCATGGCAATTGACAGGCAAATTATTGCTGAACCGAGCAGCAATCTAAACAAACATTTCTACCGGTAGAAACTAAAGCAGAACAGCTGACATACGAAATAATTTGACTGTCATTGGTTTAACCGGCGACAGCCTAATTTCCATTGTTTCAAATTTCCCCTGTCATCATGATGATAAGTAATATCAAGTAAAGAATTATTTTCTTAAGCATATGTTTAATGAGCCAGAACTTTTCTAATCGTTTTCTGTATCATGTATTCTGTTTCTGTCTCCCTTCTCTTATTGGAGCTCTGCTTTATGATACAAAGGGCTGTCAGATCACAAGGTTAGTTTCAGTATGACTTATATCCAATTCATGTTTACCTTTGGTTTGAATATTCGTGTTTCTTTTTCTGGGAAACGTCTAATTCAATTGTAAGAATTCGTAATTAAGTCATAAAATTAGCTTTTTCCACCTATATTAACTGAAGAATTGTTAAAATATTCAGTTATCAACCCACAGATAGTACTTTGAAGAAATATTACATTTTCGTGTCCGTATGTGCATTGATTAAGTAAGAATTCTACAAAGCGAAGCGCAGACGATTAAAAAATCGATGTCAGAACTTCTGCCGAGTAATTTGAACCCCCTTAGTCGTCTTCCTCCACTGACCCAAGCAGTCCAGAGATTGCCGACTCTCCGAGAAACCCGCCTTTAAATCAAACCCTTAAAACAAGCCAAACAGAAATGAAATAGTTTTCAATTTAAGAACAACAGAGAATTGTTGCCGTGTTTATATACTCTCATAACAACACCCGAGACACTGTCGAGGGTTTGTATATCCCTTTCCTTGTAGAAATAAAATAGACGAAGAGAAAATTTAAAGTCTAATACAACTGATGATGAAACGTCAACTATCAAGTTTTCCGTAATTCTTAACATATCACCATAAGCAATAATGTTACGTTTCATGTATTATTATTTCTATTTCAAAGATGTCTGCATCGCAGACCAGTGTCGTAATTTGGAGTTTGGGCCTGAGAAAGCATTTGAAGGGAAACGCCTCATAAACCACACAATTCGCACCGTAGAAATAACAGTTTCCAGGTTCTGTGAAAACTTGTGTTATATGGAGCCCGACTGTGTCAGCATTAATCTTTGTTTACGAGCAAATGGAAATGGAAATTATAAATGTGAACTGAACAATGCTACTCATGAAGGAAACGAAAAAAAGTTGATAGACCAAGAGACGTATTCTTATCTCGCAGCTGAGGTAATGTAGCTTTCAATTCAAGATTAAGATTGGTTTATTTTGTTTTTCTTTTTAAAACTCTGGGTCTCGTATTCACCTTTAATTACGAACTTAAGTTGCCTTCCCTCTTTCAAGACATTAGCGGTAATGTTGTGTCTGTGCTCTTCACCAGAATCTCGGAGAATATAGAAATAGGAGAACAACTATGATGACAAGGGTAATGATGACGATATTGATGATGGTAGTGGTGCGTTTGATTATTAGACGATGAAAATGATTATAATGATTATACTGACAATGACAACGGTTTGTTTTTTCTGTCAGAGTAATTGTGTTCAAAATTCTTGTAAGAACCATGCTACTTGTCAAAGCGGATTCACTAAGAAAGGTTATCGGTGCCTGTGTACCGCTGGATTTGAGGGTCCACTTTGCGAAAGAGGTAACACAACTTCAATGTTGATATCTTGAGGTCTACAGTTTAACAAAAAAAGGATAAACTTTACCACGGTGCTTGTTAATTGGATCTCGAAGAATAAAGGAGCTTTGTCTGTTGGCTTAAAGATCTCTTACTAGTCCGTAAGAATCGAACGACAACAGGCCTTTGTTGCGGTTTCTTTACAAACACAATTCGATGGCGAATTTTTCTCTTTTTTTTTTGTTATTGCTTCTCATCATCTCCCTTCTCCTTACTCCTATTCATATATGAAGAAGGAGGCCTACCTTATTATTGTTGTGTTCACAGTTGTTGGTGCCTCTAGATATTTTTTTCCAGTACGATAATTTTGTTTTTATTTATTTGTTTATTTGTTCAGACATTAACGAATGTGTTCATGGGCTACACAAATGCAGCTCTGATGCGTTTTGCAACGATACCAAAGGTTCATACAATTGCATATGCAATCATGGATTCACGGGAAATGGACGGGAATGCAAAGGTAGGTGTTGGATCTCTTAACAATTATGTGATAAAAAAAAACTACATTTGCAAATCATGCACAAAGGAGTGGTAACTTAGATCTCGATCCTCTCAGCAAGAAAATTTATAGTGAAAATGAACGCCGGTAGAGATATATATGGACGAGACCACATTGAAAAATGTTATTCTTGATTACCAAAGTGTTTTTGCATCAATTTGTATCAATGTAATCCTCACTGTTTAGTTTCACTCACCCTTTGTTTGACAGACTGTCTTATGGCTACAGAAACCTATGTAATATGTTCTCAAGAATAAATATTAATGCTGTCCAAATCAAATACGAATATCAAGTAATGCTGCTGACCTTTTAAATCTTTTATATATTTTCGTCAATTATTGGTCGGCTTTATATCTATAGACATCGATGAGTGTGTCGAAGGGTCACACTCTTGCAGCCCTGATGCCTATTGCAACAATACCAAAGGGTCTTACAACTGTACATGTAAACCTGGATTCACTGGGAGTGGAAGAGACTGCGCGGGTGAGCGTTACTGTTGAGAATATTGAGCAAATGAGGTGGATTTTTAATTTGGAACTTTCTGATAAAACAAAAACTACTTTTACCATATTGAGAACAGTAAGTAAAGGAGGCCTACCCAATTTTTGTTGGTTGTTGGTGCTTCTATACATATATATATATATATTTTTTTTTTGTAAATGTAAAGGTAGGTAAGCCTACATTTGCAAATCATCCACAAAGGGGTGGTAACTTAGATCTCGATCCTCTCAGCAAGAAAATGTATAGTGAAACTGAAAGCGGGTAGAGATATATATGGACGAAACCGCATTGAAAAATGTTATTCTTGATCACCTAAGTGTTTTTGCATCAACTGGTATCAATGTACTCCTCACTGTTTAGTTTCACTCACCCTTTGTTGGACAGACTGTCGAATGGCTACAGAAACCAATTGAAGTTTTCAACAACTAACATTAATGCTGTCCAAATCAAATACGAATATCAAGTAATGCTGCTGACCTTTTAAATCTTTTATATATTTTCGTCAATTGTTTGTCGGCTTTATATCTATAGACATCGATGAGTGTGTCGAAGGGTTACACTCTTGCAGCCCTGATGCCTATTGCCACAATACCAAAGGGTCTTACAGCTGTACATGTAAACCTGGATTCACTGGCAGTAGAAGAGAATGCGAGGAGGCGGATTTTCTAATTCATTGTTGTTTTTACAGTTGTTGGTGCTTCTATATATATTTATATATATATTTTTTTTTTTAACGATTATTTGTTTTTAGTTATTTGTGTTTTTTTTTTGTTCAGACATCAACGAATGTGCTCGTGGGCTATACAAATGCAGCCCTGATGCATTTTGCAACAATACTAAAGGTTCATACAATTGCTTATGCAAACATGGATTCACGGGAAATGGAAGGGAATGTAAAGGTAGGCGTTGGATCTCTTAGCGATTATGTGATAAAAAATAAAGCCTACATTTGCAAATCATCCACAAAGGGGTGGTAACTTAAATCTCGATCCTCTCAGCAAGAAAATGTAGAATACATGATACATTTTAAAGGAGATCTACCCAATTATTGTTGGTTTTACAGTTGTTGGTGCTTCCAAATATATATATGTATATATATTTTGGTACGATGATTTTGCTTTTTATTTATTTTTTTTATAATGTATTTGCTCAGACGTCAACGAATGTGTTTTTGAACTAAATAAATGCAGCTCTGATGCGTTTTGCAACAATACTAAAGGTTCATACAATTGCTCGTGCAAACATGGATTCACAGGAAATGGACGGGAATGTAAAGGTAGGCGTTAGATCTCTTAGCAATTATGGGATAAAAATAAAGCCTACATTTGCAAATCATCCACAAAGGGGCGGTAACTTAGATCTCGATCCTCTCAGCAAGAAAATGTATAGTGAAACTGAACGCGGGCAGAGATATATGGACGAAACCGCATTGAAAAATGTTATTCTTGATCACCTAAGTGTTTTTGCATCAGTTTGTATCAATGTACTCCTTGATCACCTAAGTGTTTTTGCATCAACTGGTATCAATGTACTCCTCACTGTTTAGTTTCACTCACCCTTTGTTGGACAGACTGTTGTATGGCTACAGAAACCTATTTGATGTTCTCAATAACTAATATTAATGCTGTCCAAATCAGATACGAATATTAAGTAGTGCTGCTGACTTTTTAAATCTTTTATACATTTCCGTCAATTTCTTGTCGGCTCTATGTCTATAGACATCGATGAGTGTGTCGGAGGGTCACACTCTTGCAGCCCTGATGCCTATTGCCACAATACCAAAGGGTCTTACAGCTGTACATGTAAACCTGGATTCACTGGCAGTGGAAGAGAATGCGAGGGTGAGCATTACTTTGAGAATGTTGAGCAAAGGAGGCGGATTTTCTAATTTGATATATACTTTCTGACAAAACAAAACTACGTTTATCATATCAAGAACAGTACGTAAAGGAGACCTAACAATCCATTGTTGTTTTTACAGTTGTTGGTGCTTCTATATATATATTTTTTCTTAACGATAATTTGTTTTTAGTTATTTGTGTATTTTTTTGTTCAGACATCAACGAATGTGTTAGTGGGCTATACAAATGCAGCTCTGATGCATTTTGCAACAATACCAAAGGGTCTTACAACTGTACATGTAAACCTGGATTCACTGGAAATGGACAAGAATGTAAAGGTAAACGTTGGGGTCGGAATGTAGAGGAAAATCAGCTGGCGAAAAGTCTAAGTAAGAATTTTGATACACTGGCAATAGCACTGCTCTTCTTCTGAGCCTTGCAACCCTTATAACTTTCTAAGTCTCTCTTCCGTGGACTGCTTTAAAACGTTTGCAAACTCAGATTTTTTAAAAATCCTTGCAATGAGAAAATGGCTGAACTCGGTTTTCGCATAAAATCACGATTCATGAAACCTTGTGTCTGTGTCTGCGCGATCTCCCTCATTCTTTGGCTTCAGAAGACAACTCAGATCTCGGTTTTAATATTTCTAGATATCATACTCAACCTCATCAAGTAAATTGCTTATTAGCTTAAAACTTTTCTTCGACTTTGAAGAAAACATACATGCTGCCAAGTAAAGTGAATGAAAACTGAGAAACTTTTCCAACCAAAAAACAGAGCTTGGAACATGAAAAAGTTTCCCAATGATGGATTAAGATGTGGTTTAAAAAAATTCAATCTCTTCTAATCAAAGATATTTTTAAACTTCTTGCAGGAGCTTCCTCGTGTAAAAGAATTCATGACATGCAAGTAGAATTGATTTTCGATATTATTTTCATAGTATATCAAATATCGCACTTGCCCGCATATAGTTTAAGCCCATCACGGCACCGAATATACCCCAATTTTCAAACCACATTCCATATTCCATACCTGTTTGATTCAAGGACACATAACCGAGCATTGTTATTATAAAGGCTGGTGTTTATATTCCGCAGATATTGACGTCTGAAGGATCAACTTTTCATTTTCTTATTTGTTGAATCGTTATTATTATCACTCAGTATCTTTCCCATTGTTATTTTCATTGTCACCGTTGTAGCTATGACGATTATTTTTAAAAGCTCAAGTTTTATTTCACCACCGTTATCTTCATTATTAGATGTGTTTCTTTTTTTCCTTTTCATTCAAAAGATCCAATGTGAGTGGTGTGGTTACCCTTCTTGTTGACTCCCAACCATTGTCCGTTTTCTGTCACATGGGAAATTTTGGATGTGGAGATGGAGGATGGACACCAGTTATGAAGATTGACGGCAGAAAGGTGCATACTTTTATTAAATAATTCATCTCGTGTATAAACCCGCTCTCTTTCAAAACTTTGCAAGTTAAAAAACGTGCCTGTTCCACATGTGTGCCTTTTGTTTTTTAATCGAGAAGGTAATGCACGAAGAACAGACGTTGTTCAACGTAAATTTCAAAACTTGTGTGTAGTGACTGAAAAAGAATGTCTTAATTATCTTAACATATTTGTCTCTGGTATCATGTAGCAGCTAGATGAAAAATATACACCATCGGGATCATAATTCAGTTAAAAGCAGATACACTACAGGACGTCGACAGTAGAAAACCCATCAATTCGGAGAAAAAAATTTAAAAAATTAAATGCTTCTCTATTTCAGACCACCTTCCGTTACCATGCAGGTTATTGGAGTAATTACGATGAAAAAAAATTAATGCATCATTAAATATCCATTTAACAAAGTGCGGTTATTTTATAGTTATAATTAGTGATCCTGACTAGAATCTTATCTTGATCAGATCGACTAAACAACAGCTTTCTTTTGAAGCAACAGATAACTTAAAGGTCAAATTGCTTATTATTGTAATTACTGATATTATTTACAAAACGAGAACAAATGAGCTCTTATCCTTTTACAGAAAACCTTCCGTTTTGAAAAATCTTACTGGACTGATAAAAACGAGTACAACCCTTCAGGAGGAGAGACTGGGTTTGACGAACAAGAATCAAAGCTACCCACCTACTGGAACACATCCTTCTCCAAGATCTGTCTTGGAATGAAGATCAACCAACAGCTCAGATTTATTGTTGTCAACAGGCTGGCTGACTCTCTGCACTCAATAATTGCTGATGGCCAATACCGAAACACGTCGCTGGGTCGTGACGAGTGGAAAAAGTTGATTGGCAGCGACGCCTCTTTACAGCACAACTGTAACAAGGAAGGATTCAATGCCTTTAGTGATCGAACTGATCGTTCTAAAGTCAGAATTGGTATTGTTAGCAATGAGGAGAACCACTGCAACTCGTGCAACTCTTTGATTGGATTTGGTACGGGAAGTCACCCTAATGACGCAAAATCTTGTGGAAACGAGGCAAAAAGAGATTCAGATAATGGACACAAGAGTATCAAAGCCATAGGGTACATATTGGTGCAATAAAACTACACTGTTATTTAAAGTCCGTAAACCACGCTTATTTCACCTTAGAGACATTTTATTCAGACAAAACAGTCCAGGCAAACGGTCGTGAAAAAGCCCTAAATATCCAAAGAGATATGTAGACATCCCCAAATCTCGTTTACTTCAATATACAAGGATATTTAAGTCGAGCTCAGCTTTATCAAACAAAGTTTTAAAATATTTCCCAAAAAAAAAGATGGAATTGTGATTAATTGCCCCTTAGCTTTTGTGCAACAGAAACAGCAGTGGTCCCTCGAAAGCCATCGTTCTTGTTCTCCTAAAAACTAGAAATGACGAAAACGATTCGAATATTCACTGGCATTAAGTGATCATCGAGCTCAAAATTTTCTACCAGTGACAATGTCTTGCTCTTGGAACATGGAACAGTTAAAATCCACGTCTTTGAATACTGAACTGATTGATCTTGTATCCTTTTGTCGCTAGTAAAAGAGTGGAAAACCTTAAAATATACTCGGATTCTATTGGTTACAGATTGATGTTTTAGTACATGTAGTGCCCGTTTTTTAGCGTGATTTCCCAAAAATAGTTAGAACATAGTAGTTAAACTTTTTCGGCCAAAAAGCAATTCTAGTAGCATGACCGTGTAAAAAATCGTAATCAAAAGTGTTTGCCACGAAGGCGCACAGGTGAAATGCAAAAATAAGTATTACTCTACATATCTTTATTCAAGCAAAACCCAAAAACCAGATGACGCTCCTAGTCAGTGATATTGTGAATTTGATTGTGAATTTTAAATATGTCTACAGGAAACTCGAGAATCTATTAAATGATAAATTTTCCCGTTTTGTCTTTTGAGGCGAATTTTCCTCAGTAAGGGTGGGCAGTCCTTAAGCAAACACTGGTTTCTGGATGATCTTAAACATTCTATAGCTTTTACTTTGTGTTGGTAACGGAAATTATTTTGGCAGCAACTAAGGAATACCGTGGGTAACAAAAAATAAATAAATAAATAAAATGAAATGATGATGAAGAGAAAACATAGTGCTTGTGCCTCCTCGTGTAGTCCAGCTGTTATCGACCAAAAAAAAACACTGAATTGCTCAAATTAATGAAAAAAGCATGAAACTTTGCCACAACACTTTCTCTTCTGTTACTTTAGTAAATTAACGAACTATTATAAATAAGCCTTGGTTAACAGATTTGGGATGTCTGTGGTAAATTGTTCTGCTACATTTCGCTGAACGGCACTCTAGGTGAAATCCTAAAATGTTCTCCCATCTAATCAAAATTCCCCCCGCCAACAACACAACAACAACACAATCTGTTTTTTGCCAAGAGAGAAGTTTATTCAGCTAGATCCTAGAATGATGAAATAGGACCGAACAGTAACAAACAAGGAAGCGAAATAAACCTCTCTGCCACCAAAATCGGCCATAAACAAACTGAAAGAACGATAACTGGAACGAGTGCAAGAAATTACAGCGGCAAAGAAACAATGGCAGAACGTAATTGCATCGCGAGAGCGAGCTTGGATTTAAGGCTAAACTCGGAAATATAGCTTATAAGAGTCACTGGACCAATCGCCATATAATTGTATTAACTCGCCGGGTACGCCGCAACTAAAAGCCCAAGAGGCCGCTCCACGTCGAAAGGAGTGACCGCGGTAACGGTCGGCATGTGGAACACCGATGTGAGAGAGACACGTACGAAACTGTGAAACAAAACTGCGCTTAGTAAACGGCACTACACCCGAGGGACCCGGTAAAAGAAAAACCGGGCAGGAGCGGTGAGCGGGAATCAACTCAATCATACGGCGATATGCGCTGACAGGACATAATGGACTGCCAGGAATACTAAGTAAAGGAATATGAAGCAATCGTTCACCAAACTGAATTGCTTTTGTGCACCGAAATGTAACAAAAAGCCCATGGGCGGTAAAAACCACATCACCCCGAGTCAGGTGACGGCGGGATCAAATTGCCAGAGTGATGGCGGCACGATATTAGCTAGACGAGCCATTAGGAAAAAGGCGAAAAAAAAGGCGCATAATAAAGTAGCCGAGCGTGGATCACCGTTCAACAAAAGAAACGATGACAGCCGAAGCAAAAGAGAGGGAGAAACCGGCGGTGCACGACGCGGTGTGTGGAAAGCTCGGCGAGCAATACCGCGTAAAGTGAGGGAGAGGACGAAACCTTTGGTGAACGGGTAATCCGCGGCCGAAAATAAATGCAGCAACTTAACGCCACTTAAATAATTACGAATAGAAGGGGGGGTTAAGGTACGACTTAAAAATTGGACATATAGACAAACCGTCGTTAACTCAGCCGGGACTGGGGTTAGTTTAAAGTAAAAACAAAACAAAAAGAAAGCCTTGAATAGAGTGCGTAAGTTGCTATACGTCCCACAGCTGTAAACAGATCGCTGAGAATGTTTAAGATCCCGGCGAAGCCTCCTAAGTTCTGGATAGCCTAAAACGATAAAAGGCTGGGTCAGAAATCATTGTCAAATTGAAACATATCATCAGGGACAGTACAGCTTGTAAATTGACGTGTTGCGCGTGGGCTAAAAATTCAGTTCTTCCCGCAAGGTTGTTCGAGTCCCAGCGCGAAAGAATGTCTGCATAGCAATTTGAGACACCAGGAACGTGAACAGTACGAATTTCGAATTCGTGAATAGCGGCAAGATAACAAAGTTCGCGCAAACATGAGTTTAGGAAAGAGTTCCGACACCATCCAGTATTGAGTACAGTCACGGCCACCGCGTTATCGCAACGTACTGTTAAACGTAAACCGGACCACCGCAAACCCCATAATTTCAAGGCGACAATGATGGTCAACAGTTCAAGGCAATTAATGTCAAGAGTTTGTTGAACAACGAACGACGGAAAAGCTGCATGAAAATATTAGTCGCCACAGAGTCCTCCGCAGCCCGTCAAACATGCGTCGGTAGTAAACACTTCGCCCGGAGAGGACCATTGTGCTGTAGAAATAATTGAGACGCCATTATAAGCTCTGAGAAAACGGCGCCACCACGCGATATCCTTGCGAGATTCCGCGGTCAAGTTGACATGATGATGATTGAAAAGACCCTTACGTAGAAGAATGAGAATGCGGGCGATAAAGATGCGACTCTGACGCACACACTTGGAAATAAAGATCAGTTTTCCCACGAGAGACTGAAGGGCAGCCTTCGCTGCTGTTCGTTTGTGAATCCATTGCTCCAGCAATTGTTCAAGTTCGCAGAGTCGCCCAGGGCTCACTGAAAGAGTTAATGCGTCTGTGTTCAACTCGACACTTAAACAAATCATAACTGGAGAGGGCGGGCATGCTTTTTCTGAAGATTCGTGTAACCCGAGTGAAGACAATAAATCGCCAAGTGCCTGAAAATTCGTTTGTGCGTTAAAGGCCGGGGACACGCCGATGAAATCGTCTAAATAGTTAAACACCACGCGTCCTTGTTGTGATGAGACCCAGGCAACAGCAGCAGTAGAGCGTTGACACGCCATAGCGGTAGAGCGCAATCCCATCGTGAGAACGGTGTCGAAATAAAACTGTTTGTTCCAAGTGTATCCCAGAAAAGGATAATCTTTGGGTCCACTGGGAACTGGCGGTACGCCTTGCGAAGGTCACGCTTGTACAAATAACAACCACGGCCCAAAGTAACAACGGCATCCACAATGTCATCGATTGTAGGATAGCGTAATGAAAGTGGTGCCCCCAAATACGAGTCACTAGGAATACCATCATTTACTGAATGACCGGACGGCCAACTCAAATCCACGATAGACCTTCTCTCCTCGGAATCCCGCTTTTCCACGGTATTGAGAGGGGAGAGCACAAACCCCTGCATGAACAGAGCCTTGTTAAAAGGCCCTGCAATGCGGCCGAGTTGGACTTCTTTAGACAGGTACGCATTAACTTGGTCTGGAAAGGTCAACGCGCCCCGATGTGTGCGAAGATCAAAAATGGGCAAAGTATCAGACATGTAACCGATAGACCAGCCGAATTCAAGAAAGTCGCAAATAACATTATCCGGATAATGCGGAAGGAGTTCACGCCACTTAGCGATATTTAACGCAGAGAAAACCGGGATCCGTGCCACGCGATAATTCAGCTCACCAGTAAGAGCCACGGAGCGATGCACGTCGAGAAAATTGGGAAAGGGAGAACTGAGCCTCAACAAAGAACTTGAAGGGCAGAAACGTGCTCCCGGAAACTGACACGAAAAACCCGAAAGTCTTCAATCATCAACAAAAGGAGAAACATGAAGTTGCGCACTATCATACTGAAAATGTTTTAGTCTCGTACCTAAAACGTCATGTTCAAAAACCTCAGAAACAAAATAATCACTGTAGAGAGCACCTTCATCAGGAAAATTTGTAGGATGAACGAAGGTGCTCGATGAACCTAGTTTTTTGCCCCGGAGTTAGTGGAAAGAGTGCACTCCTTCGATCCCTCCGGGTGCAAAGCTTGTGAACGTCCTTTGACCCAACAGTTGGCACCAATGTGACGGAGCGTAATGATCTTGTTCAAACTTGCACGTCTGTCTTTGGTAATCTCGACAAAACAGAATCGGAACGTTCGCGGAAGAAGAAGCGCTCGCGGACGGCTTGGTTGCCTTGAGATGACCATACAAAGTACGGCTTTCTAAAGATAGAAACGAATCTCCCCATTGGAGCAATCCACGTTCGATCTCTAACAGAACTGTGCCGTGAAAATTCAAAACAGCCTGCCATTCGTAAAGCTGGGAAAAACACATTAGCGAAACCAGATGTTTTAGACGGGAAGAACGTTCCACCTCAGATAAATCTGGGGACAAGAGGATCTGGCCATAACCGGCAAAGAATTCTTCGAGTTTCAGCTCCTCGTATTTGACGTCGCGGCGACCGTGAGTAATGCTGAGATAACAATGTGGCCATGACTGCGGATACAAGACGGTGCTTGTTATCTTGGCTTCTTTCCCAGACTTGAGAGACTTACCGCCGTGTGCGTGTGCTATCTTGGCCTTCGTACTAAGAGGACTTTGCAGATCGCTGTCGTCACCATCAGAATCACTAGTCGACGCACTGGAGTCAGCTAACCCAAGCTGGGCGACTCGTTGATCAGCTTTTCGGGAGAGGCGGGCCATAGCCCGTAATTCGGGCAAAGTAACGGCAGAAACAGGTTGTGATGCTGGAGCAACATCATGGCCATCAGAAAGCGGGGGCGTGGACGCGTTGTGACCATCCGTCGCCTTTTTCTTCTCCACCAAGGCTCGTAGCTTCTTATTATCTGCTTGAACCTCTGCTAAACCAGTAGTTAACGACTGGACCCCACCGAGCAAAGAATTCAAAGTAGCTTGAATGGTTGAATCGTTCAGAGAAGCGTCCTGTGCTTGGGGGGCGGTTTCGTCTTCATCTGCTAACTCTTCTTCATCATCTGGCACTGGCCCGGGACACTGTTTATCAAATTTCCCGAACTTGTGCTCGGCTTGGGGAATTTTACAACCTGGACAACGCTTGGTTCGACCTATTGAAATCAATAAACGGACGAAAAACAATGCCACTTGACAAAACACTGTTCACGCTACGAGAGCTGTAAAAAAACTGAAACCTAATACTGTAAACAATAAAGAATAGACAAAGGTGTGTCGCGTGGCGTGAGGCAATTAATCCCTTTGCGCAATAGTGCCCAAAGAGGGAAAATTTGACAAACGATTAATGTAATGGCTAATTCTTAGTCAGTCTACTTTACTTGTTAGTGACACCGTTGGAAATATTTCTAGCAGTTAGAACTTGCCGCTACAAACCGTTGGATGCCAAATTAGCCTTTAAGCACTCGCATCGTCCTCTTCATCAGGCTCTGTATCCGCATCGAATGAGTTCGTGACAGGATTCCTTTGCTTGAGGTAGAGCTGTTCAGAATGGTGACCATGAGTCATTGAGCTGCCGCCATCCCCAGTCAGATGGGCTTGGAAGCACTGGCTGACAAAGGAAGGTTGCTGTTGGTGTTTTTAGATTATCAATCAGAACAAGTTTTACGAATTTTATTCTATCTCTGTTAGTTTTCAAATCATACACCAAATGAATATAATCCGTGTTCCTTACTAGATAACCTGCCAATTGACGAAAAATAATGAGGATGGGAAGGAGAGTTAACTAGAGGTTTTCAGACTGTGTGGTGCATGTACATGCTGGAGTTACTTTTTTGTTTCAGTTAAATTTCATTTTTCCGTTGTTTTTAGGTATGCGATGTATGATAATGAGTTTTAAACAAGGAAAAAATAAAACTTAACTGGAAACAAAAATTAACTGCAACATACTCATTTACTGTTATTTACTGTTATAATTATCTTTATTGCTAGGAACAGAAACCTCAGCAAATGGCTTAGAACTGAATTCTGAGAAAGAAAGTGATGTAGTCTCAGACACTGATGATAGTATTTCTGAAAGGAAGAGATCTAAGTGCATCACAGGTGCCACACCAAAAAGTTCCAAGAAAACAAAAATGGAGAAGTCATTTGAAACACTGTGTGTGTCTCCGTGAATCCTCAGAAGCTGAGATGAAGAGGTAAATACAGCTCTTTAATTTCATAGTTTTCAAAATGTTTGTAGCAAGAATTAATGGGGGTGTCAACATTCTCGGGGTAACCTTTAAGTAGCCAATTTAACATGGGGTAGGCTGGATCTGCCAAGATAACAGGATTGATTTCCTTCACCAAAATTTCTTATTTTACATCAGGTGGAAATAACCTCTCACTACACCCCAGAGCGTACAGTTGTGAGTTGGAAAAGACCCTTGCGTCATGCACACTTCCTAGCCACCCTACAAAAATAGGAATAGGTAATTACTGTCTGCAAGAGCTTGCATTACAATACTGTGGTGCGATTTCCTGTTGTTGTAGCTTGCATGATTTTGCTGTGGTGTTGAAACTGGTGTATGTATGCCATCGATTGCTTCAATACACATGGAAAACCCCCATTTCTCCTTATAATTAGCTATCATACGAGCGAGTTCATCTCCTTTAGCAATTGACAGATACTTTGGCTTAAGTTTTCTCAGCACTGCAGCGGCTACCTTGCGGATGATGCAAACAAAGCCCCTGGATAAACCAAACAGGTTAGAAAGTGTTCTGTAACTTGCGGTTGAAGCAATGAAGTACAAGAACAGACCCACTTTCTTTTCTACTTCAACAGCTTTTCTCATCTTTGTATCTTGCGATCCCAGTTTTGGATTAAGTTCTTCAATAAGAAATTGAAATGTTGTCCTGGACAAGCGAAAGTTTTCTTACCATTCTTGGTCTGAAAGCCCGTTCAATACAAGCTGAAACCAAACACCTGGTCTAGGAAGCTGCCATGTGGTTCTCTCAATAGTGCATTAGCTCATTATGATGACCACTAAAAGCATTGACCACTTGAAAATTTTCCTTCTCCGTTTTCTTCTAAAGCGGTTCAATCTTTCTGCAAAAGAGTGAAGCAGTAACACAACAAGTGGAGCAGTAAATCGGGTAAAATCGACTAGAAAACAAAATACTTAGACCGCCAGTTCAATGTGTTAGTATTAACGGAGACTAAATACGCAGGTACTGACTAGGAAATGTTTCATCTACGTGACTGTATCATTAGCCACAACTCGCTCCGCGCGAGCGCTCTGACCCATCACTATTTTTAAGCGCCGACCATGTACACTTTTTCAGATACCGCTCCATTAATTACCTTTTCACGCCATAGGATGATGACATGATTGCGTAAAAGTTGAAGCCTCCATCAAATTATAAGCGAAATACGAGGTATCCAACAGTGAATGCGGAGTAAAAACACGGATTCTCTGCTGAATACTCAAGTTTTTTCTTTTGGTTGCTAAGAGCGTGAGGCTCGTTATGCGGCCCAAGGAGTTCGGGAAGAGACAGGGTGTTCTTCATACTGTCAAGACATCAAAGATTTAGGGTAAAAGCTAAAATGATAATCAGAAATGTAGTGTGTTCTTAATGACTGCCTACACTACATCTATTTTCTGTCGTAATCTTTGGAGACGGGTATGGTTGTTGGCGACACAGGCACTGTATTCCTCTAATAAGCGCCCACGCTCGAATAAGCCTCAGAAACTCTTATCTTTTAATTTACCTCACCGCCCCTTACCAAAGCGTTAAAAAAAGCATTTGAGACCTATACCATCATCAAGTTAGGACATTACGCGCCATACTACAATTTCACCTACCCGTCATAATGAATATCAGATGCAATGACAAAGTCAGCAATTAAGTAGTTTTTGGACAAGCTGGTATGGAATTAACTGGAAAAGGGAAGTAAATGGAGTCGGGTTCGTAGTTTTGGCCGCGTAATCAGGATGAATGACAACGGCTCAGATGAGGCGCTTATGATGGGTGAAATGTCAAAGAACTGCCTTGATATAAAGGCGCTCTCGAATATGGTAACATTAATCGCCAAATGTAGCAGCTTCCAGAAAGTCGACTTGACAAAAAAGGCTTGAGGATTCTGCTTATGTGGTTTACACGTGTAACAGTCAGAGGTAAACTTTTGTTAGAAATTCATCATGAATTATTGTTAGAGGTCCTGTAAGTATGCCTGCTCCGAAAATGGAATTGTCAGCCGTCAAAATCGGAAAAAAATTAAATGTCAGGTGTTAAAGCTTCCCCTCCCCCTCCCCTACCCCATCCATTGAGATCCTGATTTAAGGGTCCTCATTATGACAGTCTATTTTCAAATAACTAACCATTTAAGAGGACTACCCAAAAATGTAGTTATATATTAAAACAGACCCCATTTTGTAGGAGTGCGTCTGGTGTGTGTGTCCTCGTAAATGTGTATTGGTGCACCTACACACACACACACACACACACACATATATATATATATATATATATATATATATATATATATATATATATATATATATATATATATGTATATATATATATATATATATATATATATGTATGTATGTATATATATATATATATATATATATATATATATATATGTATGTATGTATATATATATATATATATATATATATATACTGATATACACTGATATACACTGATGAGGCCCAGAAGGCCGAAACAGTACTGTCTGCAGTTAGATATAGCTCTTTGGCATACAAAGCTTTGCTTTCATGTCCAAATTGAGCACTCTACTGGATGAGTCATTGCTGCTAGCATTATGCATGCTCACTAGTTTTTCTAGTTTGAACACTCTGGCATGGCTTAGATGATTCCACATGTGTGAGATCACTTGGGGTGGCTATATGGCCTTACCTCCATCCGCGCAAGAGCACTGCACTGATGAGGCCCAGAAGGCCGAAACAGTACTGAAAGCTTCTCGGCCTCTTGGGTAAGGTTAAAAGGCTTATGAAAAGTTTATTTTCCTTGCTTTTGCAGCAATTGGTCAACATGGACAGCCAGGAAAGTGAAAATATCAGCCAGTTTACTACAGATAACTCGACAGCGAATCCAGGAGACGTCGTAGACGCAAGCGTGGTAGAAGGTTCACAGTCCTGGGGCGCAGACGTGGAAATCGAAATCCCTGAGGTACTAAAAAATCTGGAAAATAAGGGTGTGAAATTTCAGGCCGTGCCTTTTTTGAATGCTCCCAGTCAAAGTAGAATCACGAAGGATCGCTCTATTTATTTTAGCGTTGATACAACCGTCACATCGCAAATAATTCTCGAAGCTTTTGACGCGGCAGAAATCGATATTGACGCTATCACCGGAATCCAGAGAAAGGCGTCCAATAGATCTTGGATCGTGACTTTTAAGAGCCGTGCAGCTAAAGAAGCCGCTCTTGAAACACCTTTCGTCGTGATTGCCGGTCTCAAAGTGTTCCTGGGCGACTGCGAAAATCGTTTGGTCCTCGTCAAGATCCATGAAGCCCCCGCTGAACTACCCGACACTGCCGTGATTGGCCGACTCAGCCACTACGGTCGTGTCCTTTCATTTCGGCGCGACAAAATTGCACAACATATCGAGAATGGAGTAAGAACGGCTCGAATGGCGCTACATCGAACTATCCCTGCCAACATCAACATAGCTGGTGAACCTATCAAAATATGGTACCCAAATCAGCCAAAAGCTTGCCGGAATTGTGGAGCTACTGACCACATGGCCAAAGACTGCTCCGCAGTCCGTTGTTTTAATTGTGAATGCCCTGGGCATCGAGCTCAAGAATGTAAAGACTCGCCAAGATGTTCCGTTTGTTTAGCGGACAACCATTCCATGCCTCAATGCCCCTTCCTGCTCTTCAGCGCGAACGTCGATAGTGAGCCAGCGCCACCTAAAACTGAAAAGGAAAAGGAACAAGAGCGAGCCCAGCGCGCCAAGGAAAGAGAAGAAAGGCAGAAAAAACTACAACAACAGAGAGAACAACAGCGACAACAAGAAGAACAACAGAAATTACTAGAAAAGCAGGAACAGCAAGAACAACAGAAACAACAAGATCAAGAGAAACAACGAGAACAACAACGCGACGAAGGTAGAAGAGAACGACCAAGAGAACGAAGAGACGAGCGAGGGAGGGACGATCGAGAAGAACGAAGAGATGACCGGAGAGACGGCAGAAGAGAGAGAGATAGAAGCGATCGAGATTATTATCGCGGCCACGATGGCCGCGATAGATCTTCCCGCCGTGACTACTCTGGCTCCGAAACTGGTGATGATGGATGGGAGAGAGTTAAACCTAGGAGAAGGCGGTACAGATATTAATTTTTTATTTATATTCAATGAGTAAGCTTAAAATAATTTCTCTAAATGTGCGAGGACTCGGGTCCTCCAGTAAAAGTCGAAAAATTATTCAAGAATTAAATTATTCAAACTGTGACATAATCCTTTTACAAGAAACACATGTCTCATGCAAAAAACAAGCGGAGGAATTCGAAATACTCTGGCGCGGCAAATGTCTGTGGTCCTTCGGGACTGGCAGGTCTGCCGGTGTTGCCATCCTCTTTTCTCTAAACTTTCCAGGCAAAATTATCCGTTTTTTGACCGATTCCGAAGGAAGAATATTGAGCTTACTCATTGACTACTATAATTCTAAACTAAATTTAGTGAACATTTACTCTCCCAATACTATTTCGGATCGTAAAAGTTTTTTCTCTCGTCTGCACAATTACTTTCTCCCCCAAGGGGACCTAGTGATCGGGGAGACTTTAATTGTGTGGACAATGTCCTAGATAAATTAAATTGTTCCGCCATCCTATTGTCTGATCAAAAACTTCTCCGATCCCTTTGTGCTGACTTCTCACTTACAGACATTTGGCGCAAAAACAACCCGCGCAAAGTAACTTTCACCTGGTCTAATAAAGACCATACCCAGGCATCTAGAATTGACCGCTTTCTCGTCGCTAAAGGCTTAACCCTAGTAACGAAATGTAATATTCTTCCATGCGTATACGACCTATCCGATCATGACTTTGTAAAAATTGAACTAACGACTAACCCTTCTAATCACGGTCCTGGAATTTGGAAGTTCAACAGCTCTTTACTCTCAGATGTAGAATTTAAAAACATTATGTCAAAATCGATTAACAACTTTAAGCTTAAAATCCCCGAATTCGCCTCCCTTCGCGAATGGTGGGATGCTCTAAAAATTGAAATCCGCAAAACAAGTATTTCATACTGTATCCGTAAAAAGAGAACAGCAAATGCCAAAAGAATCCTAATTACTAAGCAATTAACCCATGCTAAAAACGCTTTACATTCTAATCGCTTAAATAACCCAGGTGTAATTAGCGATTTGGAAAGCCAATTGTCCTCTCTGATCTCGAAAGAAGCCGAAGGAGCTAAAGTCCGCTCCCGAGCACAATGGTTCGAAGAAGGTGAGAAGCCAACACGCTATTTCTTCCGTCTGGAGAAAAAACGAGCGGACATGAATAGTTTTGAATCTTTTTTTGACGAGAACGGTGTTCTCAGAAATTCTCAAAATGATCTTGAAAGAATTTTAACCAATTTTTACAAGAATTTATTCACCCAAGATCCTCTTGATATGCGAATTCAAACTGAAATAATTGACGGCCTCGAATTTTCACTGACTGATTATGAGCGCAATCTATGTGAAGGCCCTTTTTCTAATAAAGAATTACTTACTGCATTGGAAGGCCTTCAGACCGGCAAGTCACCCGGTTCTGATGGTCTCCCAACAGAATTTTACTCGTGTTTTTGGAACGATTTGAGCGAATCTCTCCTTTCTGTTTTGAACGAGGCCTTTCTTGCTGGCTCCCTCGCGGATAGCCAGTACGAGGGCCTCCTACGACTCATCCACAAAAAAGATGATCGACGCCTCGCAAAAAATTGGCGCCCAATTTCCTTGTTAAACACTGACTACAAGTTAGCATCTAAAATCATCACTGAACGATTGAAAAAAGTCATGAACTCCATCGTGCATTCAGACCAAACGTGCGGCGTGGTCGGCCGCACTATCTTCTCAAATTTGGCCTTACTTCGTGATGCCCTCGACATGATTGACAAAACTAATGAACCGGGTATTCTCATTTCCTTAGATCAAGAAAAAGCTTTTGACCGAGTTGACCACGAATTCATGATGAGAGTATTGCGTAAATTTGGTTTCGGCCCCTCCTTTTGTGGGTGGGTCGAACTATTTTATTCTAAAGCCTTCTCTAGAATCATTGTTAATGGCTCCCTGTCCCCCCCTGTCCACTTAAGAAGAGGGGTGAGACAAGGATGCCCATTATCTCCTCTCCTTTATGTGCTAGTTTCAGAAGTATTATCAACGCAAATCCGTAATTGTAAAGATATTGAAGGTTTCCTGCTCCCCGGAGCAGGGGCCTTCAATATAAAATATCCCAGTAGTGCTGACGATGCTACTTGCATCTTAAAATCCGAAAGATCTCTTTCTTCACTTCTCCGAGTCGTATCAAAATTTGAACAAGGATCTGGCGCTAAACTGAACACGTCCAAATCTGAAGCAATGTGGTTAGGAAAATGGCGAACTAGAATTGAATCTCCCTATGGCCTCAAATGGGTCACTAAAATGAGAGTGCTTGGTGTTTATTTCTCAAACGGCCTCGTCAATGTCGACGACGACAATTGGCGGGCCAAATTAGACAAACTAAGTTCGGTTCTAAATCTTTGGAAACAAAGAGACCTGTCTTTTATCGGTAGGACCTTAATTGTAAATACTTTAGGCGCAAGCCGTTTATGGCACGTTGCTAAAGTCATCCCCCCACCCCGTTGGGTGCACGATAGCTTTAAGTCGATCATTTGGCCTTTTATCTGGAGAGGAAAAATGGAAAATGTTAGTCGCGATCGCTGTTGTGCGCCCCCATCATCCGGGGGCCTCAACGTCGTTAATTTTAAAGCTAAGTGCGCTAGCCTGCGCCTTTCTGTTTTTTCCAGTTTAAGAGATGACTTTGGCACGTCCAAATGGCATTACCTAGCTCGATATTTTTTAGGACATAAGCTAACTATTCTAGACCCCCGTTTTTCTTTTCCCACCAATTCTGCTCCCTCTTCCTTCCTTCCTTCCAATTACTACCGCCTTTGTCTAGATAATTTCCGTACCTTGCATCAGAAAACTGGTGCCTTACCTGATTTACTCACCGGTAAGAATTTATATCTTTTGTTGCTTGACCCCGTCTGCGTTGCACCCCGGTGCTCGGGTTTTGGGCGTCTGCTATGGACCGCCCCATCAATCGTTGGGCCTGGGTGTGGCGCAAGTCTCGCCTAAAGCTAATTGAAAACAAGAAGAACGACCTAATTTGGCTATTGATCCATAGAATGATCCGCGTAAGATATCTCCTTAAGTCTTGGGGATACATCAATAGTGACAAATGCGCGATCTGCGGAAAAACGGAAACTATTGAACACTGCTTCTTGGGATGTCCCAGAGTTGTGAAAGTCTGGGACCACTTCTCCCCCCTTTTCCGTGCTCTACTCGACTCCCCTTCTCTATCTCCCCTACATCTGTCTACTACCCTTTTTCCCTAGACAAATCTACCACCGCTATATCCTTATCTAACTTTCTCAAGGCAACCATCATATATTGGTGTTGGCTTGCCAGAAATAAAGCTACCTTCGAAGGTTCTCTTTTGAGCTCCAACGCGATTATAGACTTAATTAAGAAAGGTGTCCAACTCAGAATTCTTAGTAACGACACTGATACCTTAAGGAATTTTTGGTCTTTTAAAAACGTACTTTGTTCGGTCGACGCTGGTAAGCCCATCTTCTTCCCTCTCTTGCTCCCCCTGAACCTTTGTATATAATAAAACTTGTTAAATCTCGCCCATGAGGGGTGCTTACTCCGGGCTACAGGCCCGCGCGCTGTTTGCGCCCCACATGGTCTGAAATATCTCTTTGTAAATAGTAAAAAGAAAACTTTTAAATAGAACTTTGTTACCTCTTACAGGTGGGCGCTTACTCCGGGCTGTTATAGCCCGTGCGCTGTTCGTGCCGCCTGTGAGAGAAAATATCATTAGTTAATTGAGACCTGTAATTACCTAGATAACTCATAATTGAATACTTTAATCAATTAGAATTGTAAATAGATATCATTGGCGAAATAAAACTGCCTGGTCTCCAGGCTTTTATATTTTAAAAAAAAAAAAAAGTACTGTCTGCAGTTAGATATAGCTCTTTGGCATAAAAAGCTTTGCTTTCATGTCCAAATTGAGCACTCTACTAGGATGAGTCATTGCTGCTAGCATTATGCATGCTCACTAGTTTTTCTAGTTTGAGTACTCTGGCATGGCTTAGATGATTCCACATGTGTGAGATCACTTGGGGTGGCTATAAGGCCTTACCTCCATCCTAGCATCAGCACTGCACTGATGAGGCCCAGAAGGCCGAAACAGTACTGTCTGCAGTTAGTTATATATATATATATATATATATATATATATATATATATATATATATATATATATATATATATATATATATGTATCTATGTATCTATGTATCTATATATATATATGTATGTATGTATGTATGTATGTATGTATGTATGTATATATATAAGCCAATCCTCCACACCCTTACCCGCTGCCCTTTAGTGTTTCTGGAAAGCATTGGACTGAGTCATTCGCCCGTTTTTTTGTTGTTTTGTTTTTTTTGCTTTCTTGTTGCTGCAGTCTGTATCTAATCTCTGTAGTATCGTCAGACTGTTTCGCTTTGATTGGTTCCAAAACTCGAGGAGCCTCGCGCTTTAGACCAAGAACGTCACCGCAAGTTTTATTTTTCGCCGACCCTTATGGGCATCGAGACTGTCCAAACGTCCCAACCTTTGTAGTATTATTTGTAATTTACCAACAGCATCTGAACACACGTCAATAGCCATTGCTTTTTTTTTCCTTTAACATAACCCCACGCTAAAAAAATGATGATGAATAATTATGGCTCAGTGAAACATGAACTCGAATAAGGTTGCAATAGGTAGAATATTGCATTACAGTCAATTTATGATGGTATAGTCTAGATGTGTAAAATAATTGTATTTGAAAACGACTGGATTGGAATAGGCCATTTTACAGTTGTGTACTCAGTTACTAAGCCTTTGATTTGGAGTGAGGGTGAAAGTGACCTTGTTGTCATCGAGACCAGTATCTAGCTAGCATGAGTTACATTTGAAAAGCAGGAAGGTTTGTATCATAACAAGGTCAACCTTAGTCTCACCCGCGTTCAAAGGTTTGGCAACCAAGCACACAGCTGTGAAATGGACTATTGTGAATTTTGCATCTGTGCGTTCCTCGCTGGCTTCTGCCTACGTTGAGTTTACAACTAATTCACCTAAAGTCACAGAGTAGAGTTAAGTTCAGAGTTCTTTTTGCTTTGAGACTTTTCAAAATTCTTCGTCGTGAATGCGAACGTTCACATTTTGTTAGAGCCTGTACAAGAGCATATTCGCGACTCAACAAGTTGTGATACACGAATCCAGCCACCTACATTGATTAAATCTTTTATAGATCGAGTCGTATCCACTTACCAATGTCTGTGCGGAAGAGATATTTATTTATGGATCTTTATTTAGCAGTCCTAAAAAGCGATCGGAACGGGGTTGGATCTCAGCAACACGTTCTTAACGCAGACCTCAGCGATCGATCACAAATAATTGTGCAAGTTAGATGTCTTGGGGCCAAAGGACAATCCAAGTGGAGAACAGGAAACTGTTCACGAAGAGTTCAAAGAGAAACTAACCAGGAGTTCAAAAGGCTGGTACGATACGAGCCTGCCTTGGAAAGGGAATCATCCTCCCCTACCGAACAATCACACAGGAAGTTTAAAACGTCTCAAAAATCTTGTGCGGAAGTTAGAGATGCAAGGCGAGCTGGAGAGGTACAACGACATTATCCAGACTCAATTAAGTCAAGTCGAAGTGGTCAAGGACGGAAGAGAGTTCTACATTTCTCATAAAGCGGTCGTGCGCGAGAACGCAGAATCTACAAAGATTCGTATTGTTTA